TACGGCGCGAATTCTTGGATGGAGTGGGCTGCACCATCTCGTTGAAGACGGACTGTGCGGACAAATTTTTCCCTCTGATCAACGGTACGCTTTAGATTCTTCATCTAGCGCTTTCACGACCCGGAGCTCCCTCAATCTGAGTTCAAGTAACCCAAACCTCACATCGTCATCAAAACTGTAGGCTCCCGCTTTGAAGCATTAGCGTCGTGGAAGGTTGTCCAATAATTGAGGGCATCGTCCTCATCAGCTCGCATTTTTCGGCCACCTGCAGTTCACTGTCCTGCTTTATGGTGGTGTGAAGGAAATAGTCTGGAAGCGATAGGTCTGGAGGGTCCACTTTTGCTGATGTAACGGAATAAAATCCTTGTCGCATATTTACAGAATGTAAGAGAAGCAGAGTCAGGCGAGTGGTACTAATTAGGAAAGATCACCTCTTTGATGTATAAGGTGCTCCACATTACCCGCTTACCCCTATTTTGTATAATGGGCACGTATTTTAAGTTCGAAAAAGCGTGACAGAACTTTCCCGCCAACCTAATAATATCCGCTCGACACTCGCGCCACAGACGTCACCGTCAAAATACCCTAATTAACCGAATTCGCTGAAAAGTTGTCCCCAGTGGAAGTAGCCGCTGCTTTCCTGAACATGATGTCCTATCTGCATGGGGTGCCAGTAGAGTCAAGGATGAAAGTAAGTGGGTTCACGCGAGAGCGCAGCCAGCTATGCCTGTCCACGCCTTCTCGCTAACATAGTGATTCCTTTCCCTGCTAAGGCTGAACTTTGGCAAAGAGAAGTATCACTACTGCAGGCAACTGCTGCCTCGCCTGGCCCTGTTTCTCTACTTTCCCTACACCGCATGGCACGAAACAGCCACTGGACCACGCTTTACGCGCAAGGGTCAGAATAAGCATGTGGTGCCGTCGCCTGTAACGCGGCGGTTGGCTATTTCGCGCTAAAGAAGGGCAGTATTCGTAATCAGGGCACCGAATAACGGCAGTGGAAATTTACACCGAGTTTGTTGAGGAAGGTGGTGGCGCCGAAGGGCGGCAGATGGCGCCAGCCCAGCGCCAAAAACTAATGCGATATTCGTGACCAGAGCGTCGAATGGCCATCATGGGCAAGATTTGAGCTGAGAAAAAAAATCAGGATAGTATTAGTGGATTAGTACCGAGTCCTTTGCTTCAAGAACATTTCTGACATTGGTGAGTGAATGGTGCCCATATGTGAAGCGCCCTGGATAGCCTGCTGGCAACGACCAATCTGCGGATCTTGATACGGGAATGGGTTACCTGTAACCCAGCCCAAATCCAACACCAGACAACTGATGAACTAATAACTGCGGCGCATCATTGGTATGGATTCTGCTCGCGTCCGTGCGACACACCGTAGTTCCCCCCTCCGATCGAGCTGTCGGGCGGGGGTGGGGAGGCGGTATTTTGTGCACCTGAGAAGGGAAAAGTCGCGGGGAAGATACGAGCCCTTCTTCCTCACGTCTTACCTACTTAGATTTTCCCCAGCTTCTTACCACTTTTTCCCAAAAATTTTCCTTCTTTTCCCCAAAGTTCTGCCTAGTGGGGGAGGGGAGTGTATAGTTCGTAGAAGGGAAAAGGAACACCGCGTAAATTCAATCGGAAAAAAAGTTTCCCAACGCCGCGAAGGCAAATACGACGCCCCCTCCCCAACAGCGACCAAATACGACTCCTTTTGCGCAATCCCGAACTAATGTGCCCTGCCAATCATCATGCCGCAAAAAAGCAGTCCTAGGACGTCTGTCAACCGCGAAGCCTCCCTTCCCCTTCTTTCGAGTGTTGGAGCGTCAGATGAGGGGCGAGGTCCGTAGTCAACATCGAGACTGCTCATCTTACGTCCGAGAGTGGTTGCGTTGGCAGCATGCCAGTGTATCAGACGGCTTGGGTGGGCCATTCGGTTATATCATTCTACATTCTTGTATGCATCTCAGTTATACGATGTTTCATTATCAGCAGTTCTGCTGTGTGGTTGCATGTTGTGTGGTAAACACTAAAACGTTTATTTTACAGGTACAATGGGAGAGGAAATTAAACCATCGTTGAAGCGTCCCGTCTCGTTCTCTGACGATAGTTTCGAATGGGATAGCGTTCGCGACGAAAACCCTGGTGAGCGTGAGCATTATTCCTTCCCTGTTGCGTAAATAGGAATTTTTTTCGTGAAAATTGATCTACTCAGTCACTCGTTCTTTTTCCGAGTCCTTTGAAATGCCCCTCAGCGGGATGCTCTTTTGGGGTGCTCGAAGAATATTAGAGGTTCTCTGACAACGTGTCCATGAAAAGTGAGAGGTTCTTTGATCGTGTTTTCGAGATGGCTTTCTTTGAAGGTCTATTTGAGGCATCTGGGGAGAGCGGATGTCAGAATAGAAGACTTGGCAAAATTACTCGCTACCGGATACCGTCGTAGTCAAGTTGTAGAAGTAGCAGAGCTTGCTGTTTATCAGTGACTGTTAAATCACTAGCTCACTTATAAGGCACGTGCGAAACGAAAACTAAACTATCGCTTCGAACCCCGACCCCCTTAAAAATGTGATGAAGTGTCTATTTTGTTCATTCATTGTTTTTTTTTTTTTGAAAATGTCGTTCACTCCATTGATTGATCGTTGGAATCTACATTATTCAACCAAGTATTAGGTTGATTTCAAAACTCTGCGGACATTTGAAGCCTAAAATTTAGTACTGCACAAAAATGAAAGAACCACAGCTAGTCATTTGAATTATGCTCCATTATTAGCTATGGTCTTTTGCCAAGGAGTGGAGAGCATGTATGCCCTTACTCCAGAACGTGGTAGGCGGGGCTTCGTAGAATCCATCTGATACCTTCTCGACGTCGTGGGTTTTGAATTTTACCGTCCAAATGATTTTGCAGGTTCGAGTATAGGCTAGTCAGAGGGTGCAAGGTCTGGAGAGTATGGTAGGTGGGGAAGGACAGTTAGCCATAGGTCGTTAGTTCACAATTCGTCGCCCTTACAATGTGCAGTCTAGCGTTTTCATGCTGAAAGTACACTTTGGCTTGCTTACCCCATGTGTTCGTGCGGTGAACCTTCAGATTTCGTAGATGAGCCACGTAGATGTCGGCAGTCACTGCTGTATCTTCCTTCAGTAACTCCCAGTATTCTACCTTACGAACGCTCTATCAGATGCATAGCATCACTTTCTTTTCGTGCAGGTCAGGGTTTCAGGACATTTTCTGCTTGTCCTCCTTTGTCTACCCATTGGGCACGGCGGCGGATATTGGAGTATAGCACCCACTCTTGGTCTTCGGTGGTAAGATTGTCCAGTCACGAGTGCTTCCGTTTGAGGGTGGGAAAAGAAAGTTTCGTGTCCGATCCATGTCTCTCTGTGATCACGCATGAGACATCCATCGGCCAAATTTTTGAGCCTTTCCTATTGAGTTCAATCCATTTACCACCACGCTAACACCAGGCTTGGCGGACAGATCACCTGTGGTTTGGTATGGGTCACCTCCACCTGCTCCCGTAGTGCGTCCAAATCCGCAGTTGTTGGATGCTTTTCATCGTCTTCGATAGCATACTTGCCTTTCTTGAATTTGGCAAACTAGAAGTAGACGGTGCTGCGAGCAGGAGCATTCTCCTTACAAACATCCTGCAGGCGGAGGTGGTACTCGTTAGGATTAGGCCAGAAAAGAACAGGAACAACATGACGTTGCGGAGATGGTGTTTGGAGAGAAATTCAGGCTGCATATCAGACACAAACCACTACGCTCAGGCAAATTTCTAGGATGATTCCGTAGATCGTTCTTTTCTCTGTCGAACGGCTCTTTAAACTGCTCAGGAATTTAAAATTTGACGAGATAAACCTTTCTGAATGAGGACATCATAAATGTCCGAGGACTTTTGTATCAACCTAATACCACCCAGAAAAATGGAAATAGCGAAAATGAACGTGTAAAAAAATACCATCCTATTATTGCAGATTTATTCGATTGAACACAAGTAAATTTAATGGCTGCTGAATCCTGGTAGTTATAGCTATTGCTAAGCTCAATGTAACGAGCATCTCAAACCTTTAAGTTTCGCGCTCCAAAAAAAGATATACGAGCTTCTCGGCTCTAGATCCATCCTTGTTCGCTCGATATCCCTTGCTTTCGCAGATCCTTCTTTTCTAGCAGGGTGAAGTTACCTGTAGTTTTTCCGAAAACTGACAAGCCTCGCTTGGATAAGGTCAACCAGGCAAGATCTGGGGCCGAGATCACCATCCCTGTTCCCTTGCGGGAGCATGACTCAGCGTTTAAAGGCAGTTGGCACGATAAATCCCCCAAGACGAGTAGGATTAATACGCCTGGCAGGACGGAATTCCGCGACCCTGAGCAGGCGCTGCATAATGCCTTTTCCAAGGGAGGTGTTCTTATAAGGACCCTATCAAGCCACAACATACCGAACCAAACGCCCGCTACGCCCGCCCGCCCACAAATGGACGACCGTTCCTGACGCTCTAATCGATTCATTTGCTAAGCAAATTATGAAGCGAAGGATTGGTATGAAGCGGCCGTGATGCTGCATGGATATATGAGTACACATATGCAGCCGTACCTTCGGTAGCGGTTATTGGCAAGATGCCTACGGGAACTCGTCCGAAATTGCTCTCTGAGTCGTGTGAAACAGGAGGCTTTTTTTACAGGCTCCGACCGTTTCACTGCGTTCTTTCGCCATTTCCCCACTATATAGCGCCCTACTAGCATTTTAGGCCGAGCACCAAATCATCGTGCCAACTGCCTTTAAGTGCTCTTTTACTTGAATGGCCCCCCCCGAAAGGTTTTATGAGGTGTAAAAAAAGATTTATGGGTGACAGATAAATCTCATCCCTTAAAATTCTGTTTTTGTTACGATTGGAACCGTGAATGCGAGTGATTTGATTATGCAAAGTATATTACATTCACAACTACCAATCCTAACCTCGAGTTTTTTACAGCCGGATGGAGGGCAACGAAGGTTGATTGCGATGAAAATATTATGGTAGCTGCAAATGGTTTGCCTGTCGAATGGACTCCCTATGGATATGAACGTCCTCGAAAAGGAAAGAAGCCACGACTAGACCAGAGTGCAGCGCCTCCCACAGCAAAGAAGGCGGTCACTAATACAGCGGCCTTGCTGGGTGAGTTCATTCCTGTGTTCCCATTGAATCTACAACTAACTTATTCTACGACTAGCTTGATGAAACAGTCCCTTCCATGAGTGAAAAAGAAACTCACTTATGCGCTGTGCCCTTTTTGCGTTACGAGAGGCGCAGCAAACCCGCTGAGAATGACTATGGCCCAGCCGCTCCCTGACCAGACCGCGATAGGCGAATATGTTGGTGTTTTCTTCTCGTTAATCTCTCTGCTCAGTCATCCAGTCGTATCTGGACTCTTATTCTCTCTTCGTGGCAGGCCATTGTTATGTTAAAAATTAACTGGAATGAATAGTCACTTATTTAAGGCCCTATCAACGATATAATTTCCTTTTTTCTTCTTCACAACAGCGACAGCGTCCAGACTCCGCGATGACGCACATCGACGCGTTACAATCACAGCAGCGCTCCAATCCTATAGACGCGAATGCAGCCGCAGACGGGAATCGGTCAGCGCCGACCGCTTGTGTATTCAAAGAGTGTGTGTGGGGAAGAGGGGGCAAGCGTTGCCTATTCACATTGTTTGGTATCGATCGGCATTGGCCCCTAAGGTTTTGGAAGGGTATAGAAAAATGGGCGAGTGTCAGGTTGTATGAAGGCAGCTCCTGCTCTCCTGTTAAATTATACTCTCTCAAAACACACGTGGCCGGCACCGATCGATTCTCGTCTGCGGCTGTTTTCGCATCTATAAGATTGGAGCCCTACTGCAATTGTAGCACATGAATGTGGCTTACAAAGCATCGACGCGCGTCATCGCTAAGTCTGGACGTTTCCCAAAGTCACTTAGGAACTGCATTTGCTTTATGCACATCTGCCTGTACCAAAGTACCTTTGCCCTGCTGTTTGGAATGTGCATTCAAGTAACGTATTAGTTAGCTTCAATGAAGCTAGCTCGTACAGGTATATGTTTTTAATGAAACGATGAGTATTTCTTTCAGAGGATCCAGAAGAACGAGACGTTGCGAAACAAATTCTTCTTTCGGTCTCTAAATACGCTGGAAGCTTCGTCTTTGAGAGGTGTGTTGTCAATTACTGGTCACTAGATTTCTGTAGTTTGCATATACTGACAGCATATTACCCTCGGAAATAGTCCATGTAGGATATATCAAAGTAATTGTAGCTGTGGGTGTTCTGTTCACATAACAAAGTTATGGAGACGCGTAGTACCCGCTCACCCCTTGCTAATTTCAATCTGTTTTCTGATATCTAGGCTGCTCCGGGACCAATTTCCAACTTTTCATGTTTACCACGTCCATCGCACACTCCGCCTGCAGAGGGTTGTGTCCCTCTTCTCATCCGCTGACACCCTAACATTTATCCCGTTTTTCATTCTACTGGAGAACTCTAGAACCGAATTACATTTTGCTGAAATAAACACTTCACCCACCTCACTAAGTTTGTGAGGCACCCTTTGGAAGTTAAAAGCAGTATATGACCGAT